TTACACTTTTAGCAATATCTCTAGATGCATTGATGCTTGCTCCCCTTTTTTTATGATTAAATGTAGATCACTGAGAGGAAAGCAGAACTATCGAAACTTGAAGCACTTGATTGTGGGAAGCCATTAGAAGAAGCAGCTTGGGATATAGTATGATTCTAAAATCCGGACCTTTTTTTTTTTATTCTATTTTTTATTCTCTCAATTACAAAAATATGCTTAATTTGTTCTCATCCAGGATGATGTTGCTGGATGTTTCGAATATTATGCTGACATTGCTGAAGGCTTGGATTCGAAGCAGAAGACCCCAGTTTCTTTACCGATGGAAACATTCAAATCTCATGTTCTGAAAGAAGCTCTAGGGGTGGTTGGTTTAATTACACCGTGGTGTGTGTTCTTCCACTAGTTGCTCAAATTTTACGCTGGATTATATATATTTTTTTTTTTTAGTTTTTTCTTACACTGGATTTTGCAGCTAGTACAATTGGTTTTTTGGGTGTTTGTTGGTTTGAGGTTTAAGATGGTTATCCTGTTGAACTTCTATATATTAACTTCTTTCTCATTTTATAGGAATTATCCGCTGCTAATGGCAACGTGGAAAGTCGCCCCAGCCCTTGCAGCTGGATGTTGCGCAATACTTAAACCCTCTGAATTAGCATCTGTGTAAGTCTTCCTAGAGATTTTTTTTTATTATTATTGTTTTTTGGATATTGAGATTAAACATTTGGAAAAAGAGAGAAAAAGAAGAAGCTGGACATTTTGAAGTTCTCAGGAACACTAGAGATAATTATAAAGACCATACCCGTAGCCTGTTCTTTTTTTAGACGACATAATTTGAAACTATATGTAAATAGGGATGTTTGTATTCCCATTTTTTTTTTTTTTTTGCNTTTTTTTTTTTTTTTTGGCTTTTTGTTTACATTATTAAGGACTAGAGCCTTCAAGCATTTTGCACCTAACCCTATGTACTAGAATTGTTGTTGCATATTAAACTACTTGATAGTCTCTTTAAAGCTCTTTCCCTAGGTAAATCCATAAAAGAATCTAGGCACTGCACCAAATTAAGAGAGGCAATGTGTAGTACCTTTTTGCCAAACTCAGTTATTTGTTCGATTGTAAATTTGTAATCCCTAAAATACCCCTTTATATTCCAATTGCAGCACTTGTTTGGAGTTGGCCGATGTGTGTAGAGAGATAGGTCTTCCTAATGGTGTTCTTAACATTTTGACGGGTTTCGGTCCAGAAGCTGGTGCTCCTTTGGCTTCTCATCCTCATGTTGACAAGGTAAAAGTTTTATGAAATACTATAATTTTTTTTTTTCAATTTAAATTTACTTATGTTTAGACTTTTAGATATAAATGATATGTTAAAAAATTATGCCGTATATGATATAAACAGATAGCATTCACTGGAAGTAGTGCTACAGGAAGCAAGATTATGACTGCTGCAGCTCAGATTGTGAAAGTATGTTTTAAGTAATAATAGTTACTAATCTTCTGTTAAATGCTATGATTTTTTTTTCATTACTTGACTCGACGTTTACTGCATTAACCGATTCTGATTGCAGCCTGTTACCCTTGAGCTCGGTGGAAAAAGTCCTATTGTCGTGTTTGAGGATGTTGATCTTGATAAAGGTTGATACTTTCTTAAACTAGTCATTAGACGTTACTTCTTGAATTCGATATATTTCATTAAAATATTTCTAATATTTCAATCCGTTTGAACGTTTGTTATAATAAAAAGATAATACTAATAAAACCCATCCTTGAGGTTAATTGGCATTTTTGAAAGCTAAAAATTTTCTTACTATTCACTTTTCATGTTCTGTTTTTCTATCAGCGGCCGAGTGGACTCTATTTGGTTGCTTTTGGACAAATGGTCAGATATGCAGTGCAACTTCTAGACTCTTGGTGCATGTACGAATTGAGGATGATAATTATTATTTAATAAATTTTAAACATTTGCAGACAATTATTTTTATAATATCGGCTTGCAATGAACACTATTAGGCTAATAAGATACCAATTTTTGAATATTGTTTCAGAACACCTTTTTTTTTTTAAGCTGAATTTTTGTGTAAAATATTTCAGGAAAGCATTGCTCCCGCATTCTTGGAGAAGCTTGTGAAATGGTGTGAAAATATTAAAATATCAGATCCACTAGAGGAAGGCTGCAGGCTCGGCCCAGTTGTTAGTAGTGGACAGGTAAAGTGGATTGTGATGAAGTTTTCTATAAATTTTTTTTGTCAAATATGAGGGCCATTATGTTTTTTCCGAGTTGAAAAATATTGTCAAATATAAATATCATTTTATTCACAAAAATTACCAAAAGTGTTTGGTAAAACTGACTATATGTGAGTTCTATAAAGCAGAAGCCAAAAGCCATTATCAGTTTTATCGTGAATATACAAACTTTGCTTTTTAACTTAATGTGAAGGGGATAAAACTGTTTTTGCTGGTTTGCATAGCTGAATATTATATAGATGATTTGGTATTAGAAAAAAAGTATTGAATTACAGTGTATAACTCATGGTAATTTTACAGTATGAGAAAGTGATGGGATTCATCTCAAAGGCCAAGGAGGAAGGTGCTACAATCTTGCATGGCGGTGCAAGACCGCAGGTATAATAATAATAAAAAAAAAAGGAAAAAAAAAAAAAAAAACTGACTTTTTTCCTTTATCTGTTTGTTAATCACAACTTTTGATTTTAATTGCTAAAACTGGGAGTGAACTTTTGCAGCATTTAAAGAAAGGGTTCTTTATTCAACCGACCATAATAACAGACGTGAAAACCTCCATGCAAATCTGGCGAGAAGAAGTATTCGGACCTGTTTTATGTGTTAAGACATTTGCAACTGAAGAGGAAGCTATTGAACTAGCAAATGACACTCAGTGAGTTGATAACCTGATTTTTTGCAGCCATATTTTTTTATATATCTTTTTTCATTTATGTTATTTGGGGGGTTATCTTTTTCAGTTACGGTTTGGGTTCTGCTGTATTATCCCAAGATTTGGAAAGGTGCGAAAGGATGACAAAGGTGAGATTTTATTATGTTTATTTCACTCTGTTTTTGTGAAAAACTGCCCTGAAGTTTTTTGCCTATTTTTGTACAATTCCCTTTTATCTTATAATTTTGATCTAAATGTAGTGTTAATTTCGAAAGATATATACAGGTTCTTCTGATTATATGGAATCTCATGAATCTATTTTCTATTTAACCTGTGATATTATTGAATATCGTTTGGTTCGATTCTTTGCAGGCATTTCAAGCCGGCATTGTGTGGGTCAACTGCTCACAGCCATGCTTCTCGCAAGCTCCGTGGGGTGGTAGAAAGCGTAGCGGTTTTGGTCGTGAACTTGGCGAATGGTAATATTTTTAGTAGGTTATCAATGTATTTTACTTCTTAACTTAGCAAAAATGCATTTTTAGTGTTGTTGGTTTAAAGTCGTAGCAATTTTGGTCCCAAGGTTCCAACTTTTCGCCTTTTGGTCCTATTATTTAATATTTTGTTGCAATTTCAGTCCTTTGAGAACTGAAATTGCGATAAAATTTTAAATCACGTGATTGAAATTGCAGCAAAATATTAAATCACAGGATCAAAAGGCGAAATGTTAGAATCTTGGGACTAAAAATGCTATAAAATGCTATGATGTTAGCCTCTTAACTTTGTCATACGACAAATTTAAAATGTTAGTGTTTAACGAGAAAAACTGAAAATATATTGACTTTCGTGCAATCTTGCTCATGCTTATTCTCTCTCTCTCTGTATATCAGGGGACTCGACAACTACTTGAACATAAAACAAGTAACGCAATATGTCTCTGACGATGCTTGGGGTTGGTACAAGTCTCCTTCAAAGCTGTGATGATTTTTTTTTTTTTTTTTTNCTTTCCATGTTTTTAAGTTGAAAGGGGAGAAAATGAAAAAAAAAATTAAATAAATAAAAAGGAGGCCTTTTTACAAAGGATGAGTTTTTGTGTGCTCTTCTTATTAGGTGAAAAGTCTCTTGCTGTCTGTGTTTTGTTTATGGTGAGAACTATGTTGAAAAGAACATTTGGAATAAAAACATTTTGGAATAAGTGTGTTGAATATCCTGTCTTTGATGAAATTTAGGGGATTTGATTCTACTCATTGGAGCTTTACTTAAATTTAAGATGATTGTAGTTCTATGAATATAATATAGGAGGTAGTTTGGATCTGACTGCAAATAGGCAGATCTAACGGTTAGAGATTCATATATTTTTTTACGAATATGCATGATTTCGTGATCGGATGTGATACTTTAGAAAAAAAAATTGAATAAAATTATGATATTTTATAGTATAAATTTTATTTAAAAAAAAAAATGACAAATTGAACTGAGCTTAGTTACATAACTCTCCTTTTTAAAAAAAAATAGACACAAATTAATATTAATATTTTTCTTTATATATCAATCATATCATACCAAAACAAGTTGAGGGTGGCATTTCAAACGTTGTAAGTTGTAACATATCAATCAAACCTTAGTTAGCCACTTCTTTAATGACGGGCAATATAGACATGAAGTTGCAGGAATACATTACATTTTTTAGTTAAATATTCTACTTCATATATATTTGTGCAATATAACATAGTATGATAGGTGTATATATATATACAATTATATATATAGGCCCATCGAATATATAAGGAGTCCTCCATTGCATATAAAGTTGTTAACCGAGCTGCTCGTGAGCTCCCTCGACTGGTGGCTTGTGGCTTGCGATAGCTCATTAAGCTTGAAAATAAAGTTTTTTACATAATTTTTTTGAATATTTAATATAATACAACTCGTTAAGGCTCGACTTTGTTTATCCACTCGACTTGACTAGTTTACAACTCTAATTGCATACAAAACTTTAGCTTAAGAAGGTAGGAGATTGGATTTGTTCATAGGTAATGTTTCAATACCTACAATAAAATGGGAACAAATTTCATGGTAAACATATTTTTTCAAAAACAAAGTTTTATACTTCTATAGTAAAATATTATTCTTATTTTTTTGTTATGACACAATATAAAATAAATAGTATTAACTGCAGTTTAACAAACAACAAAAAAATGTACCTTATCTTCCAAGCATTCATTCACTCCATCCAAATCTCTGTACCTTATTGCTAGTAATCAGCTGGCAAATGTGCATTTTATGGCAACCCCACTTGCAATTAAATTGCCCCATTTTTCCATACCTCAAATCAACAACACTCCCATAACAAAAACCGATGCCCAGTTGATTCTTGATCCGTTCCAATTTCATTACCAGACCCCCGCAAAAACTTTTACAGTGTTTGGTTCTTTATACCAAATGATTTCTTGTTCTTTTGGGTAATCCTGAAGAGGGTCACGTGATTTTTCACGAAATATTGCGTTCCTTATCCTGATTGAGGCTGCGGGCCCTGCAGATTTTGTCTGAGTAATTTGCAAATAGTTTGAAATAAAGTTCGGTGAGTGGAATTTGAGATCTGGGTTTTGTGTCGGTGATCAATGGGGAGCTCAGATGAGAGAGTTGTGGCTGTGATCATGGTGGGTGGGCCCACTAAAGGTAAGTGCTTTTCTTTTTTTTGTCTAATTTTCTTTTTCTTTTTTTTTTTTAATTTCTTTTCCTTTTTCTGAGCTTGATGAGCTCAGATGAGAGAGCTTGCTTGATATATTGGGAAACAATTTGATACATGAGTGCAATTCTTGCAACTAATTGGTGTATTGTTGAAAGGTTTTTAGTTGTTTACTAGTTTTTGGAATAAATGTGAAGTCTTTTTTCGATGATTTTCGCAATGCAGGGACCAGATTCAGACCGTTATCGCTTAACATCCCGAAGCCACTTTTCCCTTTGGCTGGACAGGCTATGGTTAATCATCCAATATCTGCCTGTAAACGGGTAAAGCTTATAAATCCTAACATCGTTTGACAAATAAATTAGTTATCTAATTGAGTTTGAGATTTATTTTTCGTTAAAAAGTGAATTTTTCTTGTGACATGCTAGAGTTTCTGCATGCGGGATGGATAATCGAGTAATATCGCCTAGATTAATTCTACATTAATGTGATGATGAGTGATGGATTGATTTATTTACTTTACCTCTCTTGTGATAGATTCCAAATCTAGTACAGATTTACCTTATTGGTTTCTATGAGGAGCGTGAATTCGCATTGTTTGTATCCTCGATATCAAATGAGCTCAGAGTTCCTGTCAGGTAACAACAGTGGTTTACAAATTTTCTTTTTTTTTTCTTTTCATTTTCTAAAGATTAGTTTGTTCCTTTGTGATTTTTCTATGTGTGTAGGTACTTGAGAGAGGATAAGCCGCATGGTTCGGCTGGTGGACTTTATAATTTCAGGGATCTAATCATGGAAGACAACCCAGTTATTATTCTCTCTAGACATTTTTCTATTTAAACCTCGTACTTGCGAATAGATTAGAAATTTAAGCCACTTTTTTTTTTTTTTGGTTTACACTGAAATATTATTTGACACTATTGTTAACACGGTTATGTGTTACCTTTGCAGTCACACATTTTTCTGCTGAATTGTGATGTTTGTTGCAGTTTTCCACTGCCTAAGATGTTAGGTAAATTGTAATTGAGTTACACCTTTTAGTATTATTGGGTACATTCA